CTAAATTGATATTCGACACTATTAATGCTAGATAACATTATTATTTAAATGGCAACTATATGACATCAAATAATAAATTTATTTAAATATAAATTCACACGATTCATTTAATGAAACTATTGAACTTATAGCTATGTAAATTGTTGCAATTAGAAGTGCAAAATTGTGTGGGTTGGTTGGTCAGTGGACTATAGTGGACCTAAAATAGTTGAGATTAAAATTAGAACCATCCTCGCTATACAGGGGAAAGGGTTACAGCCCCCTCACATGAGGGGAACCCAACCTCGACGTGGGGCTGTAATTGTACAATCCCACGTACGATTAGTTCAACCCAGTTAGAAGTTAAGGCAAATTGCATCTGCCGTCCTCATCGTTTAAAAAAAAAAATTCCCCTCAGCTGAACCATCCATATTTCAAGTGTCATCTAGAAACGGAGAAATACCTAGTGACATCGTGATTTTGTTTTTTGAGTTTCTCTGGATATATCCAACCATTTAACTCTACTTGAATTTGCAAATGTAATTAGGAAGAAAAACATCAAGTAATTGCACAAATGAGCTTAAACCACAACTTGCATGTTTCATATGTTTCTCTACTACGTTCCACAGAAAGCAATCACCAAATCAAAAACACACAGTTCACATACACAAACAAACAAGAAACTTATAACAGCAGAAACTGCATTATTTCAGCAATGGAAACTGGATCTTAAATTCTGTACTATATCATCCATCTTCAAGTTCTACCACCGGTACTTTCTTTCCCTTCTGGTGCTTTCTGCTGTATCGTCTGCCCAGTCTCCTTTGTTTTCTGCCCAACTTGTATGGCCGCATCCCCCATCCGGCTCTTCGCTAGATCCAGCATGGACCCACTAACCTGCCTCAAGAAATTCACAACCCAAGAAAGCGATGACAGCCCAGTTAGCCCGAAGGCACCGGAAGTAAGAAAAGCAGTGACTGCAAGGCCAACAAGAATGGCGGCCGGGACGAGAACCGGGCTGAAGATGATGAAAAGAGGAGTAGTGACAGCAAGGCCAATAAGGCTTCCAACAAGTGTCAATCCGGCGAGTGCCAGTAGGGTTCCGCCAACAGGGAGGAGAGTGACGACTGCCAAANCGCAAAAGAAACCGGGTTCAATTGGTTTAGTTAGTAGTGAGCAAGGAACCGTTATTCATGTGATATTACAAAATGAAATAGGACAAATTTCATTTCTGATCAATGAAAATAATTTGATTTATCACAATAAGATTATTCTTGTTACGCCTTATATCCAAAGCTTCCTGTGAAAGCCACGTGGAGTCCTAGGGGAAGCCAAGCGGAGACAATACATCTAACAGTCGACAGGGTCAAAATAAGGAAAAGGAAAAAGTTCTTTGTCGAAACACTCTTTCATCTGGTCGAACCTTTGTCCATCTGAAGTCGTCTCTTTAAGTAGAAGCGTGAGCTACCTTTAAAGCGGATCTACAGAGTATTTGTAAGAATGATTGATGATTTGATGTAACGTTTGTGTTAATAAGTGTCAGCAATGCTTGCTTAGAGTGTAGGGTGACTGACCACTTGTCAATGTATTTAATGTATGGCAAAGTGATGTGGGACTTCAGTTAATAAGATGAAGTCACGTGGTTCTGATCCAACAGCCACCACGTCGGTTAGAACACTATAAATAACAGCCTTGGAACATTTTAAATAAGGGTAAAAATTATATGTAAACTTCATATACGTGAAATTACAATCTTCTGCTTTATGTGCTTGAGATTGTAATTGCTTATATTTTTGATGGAGTTGTTTGTGATTGGTCATTTTGTTTGTGATCATTCTTGTTCTCATTATCAGTGTCTGAACGTTTTCATCTCATGTCGTAGAGCATATCCCACGTCCATTATCGTCGTGATTCTCTAACTGTATCTCCAGTCAAAACGTGTTAAAATTTGCTTTTGTAGACACGAGTGGGTCCGATATGGGTTGTTTACGTTGCCATTACAAAAAAGGGGTTAATAGATTGACGCCATCTGTGGAATACCATACATTCAACCACAAGAATCTTGTGGGAAAAAAGCCAACAACTTTTCTTTGGAAGATTTCTTGCATTTGAAGAAAATGAGGTGTTCTTGAAGAAAAAATCACCAAGTACTCCCAAGTTGAATCTTTCCTTTGAAAGCGCCCCTATAAATTCCTTAGATAAAGGAAAATCACAATACCAAGGAATCAACTTATTTAGAAACACTGCCATGAGTTCCACCAATAAAGAGTCAGCACCTCGGAGAGCCAGGGAATACCCTAAAGAAGGAGAACCCTCGCCAATGCTTCAGCAACTTGCTATCGATTTCATCGGTAGCAACAAAGAAGTGGATCAAGAGGTGGGTCTAGGATAGCTACTAGACTTACCAAGAAAGTAGCTAATATGGATACAAATATGAGAAACATAACCTAACAAATCCTTACTATGCAGGAGCTGCTAAGAAGCATGCAAGGCTAGGGAGGATACCCGGTTCCTCCTTATGTAGCTCAAGGAAATGCATTCTTCGACCCTTCATAAGGAAAATACTACCATAATGAAGATGAGGTACAAAGTCAAATGACAGTATAGGGATAAAGCTCTTGTGGAAAGGGAAGTTAAAGTGGATACATCTACCATGTTACTAATCAACCTCACGAGGTCCCATTCAATTTTCCCCTAAACTATGATCTGGAAGACACTTCTCAAAGGCCAGTAAGTGTTTTTGATAGGCTAAGCCTAGGGTAGCCTATGAATAGGTAGGCTCAACCTCCCTCTGCACCTAGAAATAGGCAACAGAGACCACTTCAATTCGAAATATTCCACCTAGAAATAGGTATGAGAAGATAGTAGAAGAGGCAAGGAATCAAGCAGGACTATCTCAACCACCTCAAGAAACATAAGTCAGAGAAGATGAAGATTCCAACGAACCACAAGGTCCTATGATCTTGATGACAATGGTGACAATCTCCCACTTTCACAAGGTATTAGGAATGCCTCTATCCTAAATCACTTCATGCCCTCCAAACTCTCCAAATACGATGGAAGAGGTGATCCTACAAACCATTCAATGGCTTCAAAACTCATATGAGCTTGACAGAAGCTGCCCCCATGAAGTACAGGGCCTTCCACTTAACCCTAAGTGGAATGGCTGAAGTGTGGTATACCAGGCTCCCAAAGGGATGCATTTGAAGTTGACTAGAATTTAAGAAGGCTTTTCTTTAACGCTTCGTTACAAGTAAAGAGGGCTAAAGACCAATACAGTGCCTTCAGGACATAGGGTAGCAACAAGGAGAGTCATTGAAGAATATCCTGTCTCGTTTTACTAATGAGATGACCAACTGCATCAAGTCATGGATAGGAGGACAGTAACAACCCTAAGAGGAGGGTTGGATATAAACTTTCTCTTCTGGATAGATGTACAAAACAATGACCATGTCAGTTATGATGCCTTACTGGGAATGCTAAGGCCCAAGATTATCAATGAAGAATTGAAAGATCATCGAAAAAGGGCAAATGAGAACTTCTATCTCCACAAATGTAAAGGAGGAGAGGTCTCACCTCCCATTTGATGGACCACTAGGTCAAATAGTGGGCCTTCCTCAATCCAGGACAAGCATTCGCTACAACAACATTAAGTGTAGGGCTTACTTTGGCTTATGAAAAAGTGAACTTTACCTATCATGGAGTGCTTAGGAAACCTACCCTAAAGGAACTATAGGCTATTACATTCATCCACTACTTGTGCATAAAGTTCACTATAGAGAATGGTATCGCCAAAGTCAGTAGTGACCAGAGAAGTGCTAGGAAATGCTACTCCAACTCTCTTAGAAAAGCTGAACCAAGGGATGTTAGTGTCATTTTAATGGACATTGACGAAAATGACGACCTGAACAAAGGGCAACCCTAAACAAGGGGACGATGTCGAGATGTTAGACGCCTCTAAAAAATGCTACTTTTGAAGTACATCAACCCCTGAAGAAGGAAGAGCTGCTGAAAAAGCAACTAATTTTGATAAACTGGATCCCTGCATGATTGAAAAGGAACCACAAACAGCTTCGATTGAGGAACTGGAAAGCTTTATAGTAGATTCTCGAGATCCCTCCAAGTCCTTATGGGTAGGGGTGGGCATGGGTTGGGTTGGGTCGATTTTTTTCTCAACCCAAACCCAACCCAACATGATCGATTTTATTTAAAGTCAACCCAACTCAACCCAATTAATGGTTTAAACCCAGCCCAACCCGATCAAGTTTGGGTTGGTTTGGGCTTCGGTCCAATTAAAGTTGGATTCGATTATATTTTTATTAAATTTAGATAAATTTTTAAAGTTTGAAATTACTTGAAAATCTCTGTTTTTTTTTTTAAATACCTATGTATTCTTTTTGAAAAATGATGTATAAATAAGTTTAAAATTTATGAAGTATTTATTGTTATTATTATTATTATTATTATTATTATTATTATTATTATTATTATTATTATTATTATTATTATTATTATTATTATTATTATTATTATTATTATTATTATTATTATTATTATTATTATTATTATTATTATTATTATTATTATTATTATTATTATTATTATTATTATTATTATTATTATTATTATTATTATTATTATTATTATTATTATTATTATTATTATTATTATTATTTACAATTTTTTGGAATTTATTCATTTCATCATCATCTTCTTAATTTTTACTTTATTACGAAATAACATTTCATTTGCAAATTGTGTTCATAGGAATCGATCTATATATAAAATAAAAATAAAAATGGACGTTTATAAATTATAAGTCATTTTCATATATTTACTATTGTGTTTATTTAGGTTTTTTTTCATCTTAGATATTATTTTTTTTAATTCATCAGGTTGGGTTGGGTTTTAAATCATAACCCGAAACCCGACCCAACCCAACCTCAAATATATTTTTTCAGCCCAACCCAATTGAACTTAAAAAACCAACCCAAACCGATCGGGTTGGTTTGGGTTGATCGGGTTGAGCGGGTTGGGTTGGGTTTTGCCCAGCCCTACTTGTAGGTTGGAAAAAACCCGCCAGCAACAGCCAAAAAAAGTTGAAATGTTTCTTGCGTGATAACTTAGATGTCTTCGCGTGGAAACATGAGTACATGGTTGGCACTATTCCAAGGGTTAGAAGCCATCACTTGAAAATCGATCTAAATGTTACTTCTCACCGGTAGAAAAGGAGAGCCCTTAATCCAGAAAGATATGAGGCCTTGAAAGATGAAGTAAAGAAGCTAATTGCCAATTGTTTTATTCGATAATCAACTTATCTAAAATGGGTATCAAACATATCCTAGTGAAGAAGCATAATGGAAAACGGAGGGTATGTGTGGACTTTTCCAATCTTAACCATACCTGCTCTAAGGACAGCTTTCCACTTCCATGGATACTTGTTGATTTTACTGCTAGGCATAGACTACTAAGCTTCATCGACACCTACTCATGTTACAAATAGATTCCAATGTATCCCACAGATGAGGAGCATATGTCCTTCGTAATGGCTAAGGTCTCTATTGCTACAAAGTGATGTCCTTTATGTTGAAAAATGCAGAGGCAATGTATCAAAGATTGGTTAATAGGATATTTACAAACCTCTTTAGAAAAATAGTAGATATGTATCTGGACAACATGCTTTTGAAAATTTTGAAGATAGAAGATAACGTTAAGCACCTCAACAAAGCTTTTCAAATACTTCGAAGGCATTGGATGAGGCTTAATTCCCTCAAATGTGCTTTCGGAGTTGCCTTGGGAAATTTTCTGGGCTACGTGGTCAATCAGAGAGGTATTGAGGCTAACACAGAGAAGATCAATGCTCTAATTGAAATGAGGTCACCTCAAAAGCCTAAGGAAGTGCAGAGTCTTACTTGGCTTGTGGGAGCCTTAGGTTGCTTCATCTCAAAAGCAATGGATAAATGTCTTCCTTTCTTTAAAATTTTGAAAGGAGCAAATAGGTTTCAATAGACAAAGGAATGTAAAATGGTCTTGCAAGCGCTAAAGAAGCACTTGAGACAAGATTTTCTCCTCCCCAAACCCAAAGTCGAAGAGCCTCTACAACTATCCTTTTGGATATGACCATCGACGCTATCAGCTCGATGCTTACAAGGGAAGAAAAAGGCTGCCAATTGGTTGTATATTATGTTAGTAAGAAACTCACAGAAGCAAAGACATTATCCAGACATGGACAAGCTCGTTCCCTCACTTATATCAGCTTCTCGAAAGTTGAGACCATATTTTTAGGTCTATACTACTTACTAACTTACCCATAAAAATGTGTTGTAGACGCCCGATGCCTTAGGAAGGTTAATAAAATGGGCTGTTGAACTGAATGAATTTGATGATATCTTTAAAGGAAGAACTTCTGTTAAAAGACAGGCCTTAGCAAATTTTGTGACAAAATTCAAACCTATTCTAGAAATGGAAAAAGAAATGGAACCTGCTGAACTATCCACATGGAGCCTTTCCGTTGATGGCTCATCAAAAAACGTTGGTTCTGGAGAAGGGATGGTCCTGGTTAGTCCGAAAGAACACAAGCTCAATTGTGCTATAACGTTCAACTTCAAAGCCACCCATAATGCATTAGAATATGAGGCCCTTCTAGCTGGCCTTAGATTAGCTAGAGAAATGCAATTGAAAAGGTTGGTCATTTGCAGTGATTCTCAGTTGGTGGTTGGCCAGGTTAATGACAATTTTTTAGCCAAAGACAATAGCATAGCTACCTATCTAAAACTGGTCATGCCTTTGATAAATTTAGTTGGTGCAAATCCCACGTTCAAAAAATGTTCATACTGATGTTCTTTCAAAACTAGCAAGTAGTAAAGATTTTGAACTTCTTACAGTTGTTCCTATGAGCACTTTCCTGGACCCTCTTCTGCTAAAGGCGAAGAGGTGATGTGGGTCGAAGATACTCCTCTATGGATGGAGCCAATTATAGAATTTGTCAAATACCAAGCTCCACCATCTGATAAAGAAGAGCACAGAAGCCCAAAAGACAAGCCGCTCACTTCGTTTTCCAAGATGACGTGTTATACAAACAAGGTTTCTCTTTGCCCTTGTTCCAATGTATAGGTGATGAACAAGCACCTATGTGCTTTAAGAAATTCATGAGGAAGTATGTGGCAACCATATGGGAGAATGGTCTCTAGCACAAAAGGAGTTAAGATAGGGATATTATTCCCCCATACTAAAAACTGATGTATGGCAGTTTGCAAGAAGTGTCAACGCTTTGCAACATTTTAGAGGCAGCCTTCTCAGGAGCTAAGTATTGTTTCTAGTCCCTGGCTATTCGCCAAGTTGGGGATCAATCTTATAAGACCCCCACCTAAAGGAAAAAGTATTGCCAACTTCACGATTGTTGCTATTGACTATTTCATAAAGTGGGTCGAAACTGAACCTCTAACCAAAATTATTGAAGCAAATACTTCCAAATTTTTATGGAAAAATATCATATGCCGGTTCAGAATCCCCCATTCAATTGTTTCTGATAATGGGCAACAATTTGACAACAAGAAGGACAAAAGATTATGTAAGGAATTAGGAATTAAAAAGCATTTTTCTTTCCCGCATCATTCGAAGGCTAATGGACAAAAAGAAGCTGTCAATAAGAACATCAAATATACACACTAGAAAAAATTGGATGCTTCTAAAGAGACTTGGGTTGATAAACTACCTCAAGTTTTATAGGCCATCAGAACTACTAGTAGCATAGCTGCATGAGAGACTCCTTTTTCCATGGCTTACAGAGCTGAGACTATGAGTCCACTTGAAGTGATCTACTGTCTCCACGTCGCATACGTTTTAACGAAATATCTAATGACAAGTTGAGAAGATGTGAAATAGATTTCCTTGAAGAAATGAGGGATGAATATTATATAAAATTAGCTATTTACCAGAAAAAGATAACTAGGTATTACAACTCTAAAGTTAAGAAGAAGTCATTTCTCTTGAATAATCTTGCGCTACGAAGGGTGTTCCTATTTTCTAAAGAGCCAAGAGTGGGGACCTTGGCCTTAATTGAGAGGATCCTTATCGCATCAGGGAAGAGGTTCGACTAATAACATAAAAAATTGAAAGTACGGATGGAAAGATAGATCCTCATCCATGGAATGTAGAGCATTTATGGAAGTACTACCAGTGAAAATATAAACGAATTTCATGTATGATTTGTAAAAATCAAATAAAAGTTTGCACTACTGAAAGTCTTTCCTGCAAAGAAAAAATGCCTCCCATTGACAAAAGTTAAGGAAAAAGCCTTTGAATAGATGAATCGTCCCTATGAAGCGTGGACACTTCAATGAAGAGGTAGATCCTAAAATGGACCACCTCTTAACTCGTGAAGTTTTTTAAAGAAGCCTAGGAACTGGATCCTAAAATGACCCTTAACTAAAGTTGTTTAAAGAAAGCTCACCATTAATGAACCGCTCAAACCTATGCCCAAGAAAATAAATAAAAAGCACACGAGCTGCCAACACTTATAAAAATTACGAATACAAACGAGTCCTAAATAACAAAATGAAGTGCTACTAGGCAATGAATTCATAAATAAAAATGCAGTAAAGATAGTAAATAAAAAAATGTGTTTCATTCATTAAGAAAAGTGTTACGATTGTGGGATTTAAGCCACTTACATAAAATAAATATGAAAATTTTACAAAGGCCCTATCACTAAATAGGTGGGAGAGGGGAGGCACAAAGGGTACAATAGCATTGGGAGCCACTTCAGTGGTTTCTTCTTCAATAGCTTCATCTTCAATTTCGATCACATGGCTGCCCTCCATCGAAGTTTAAAGCTTTTCCTCTCCCTCTTCCAAGAATTCAGATCTTAACTCAGAGGCGTTGAAAGTTTGAGAGTTCAGTTCAATCCACTCTACGATTTCAGTGTAGGCATATCTCCGTCAGTCTCAGCTTCACTGCCAACAAATTTAACTTCTCTTCTTGCCTTCTCTACCTCTTCCGTTAAGCCAAAAATTCTTGAGTTCAACTTTCCCACCCACTGCTTTAGAGTAGCATTTTCTTTATTGGCCTTCTCTAAGGCCTTAATAGCTAGCCTCTGGTGGGCACCAAAAGTCTCCACCCGTTTAGTCATGTGGGCCATTTCACTTTGCGACAAATAGACGTGCTTTTTCAGATTTTCAATTTCTGGGAAGGCAAAAGCAAGCTTCACAAACTCCTCAACAAGGCATCCACCTCAGCCCTTGCCTTCTTGGTTGTCTCATTGGGCTAGAAGATCTTATTAGTAAATTCTTCATTTTTACTTTGAAGGTTTTTAAAGAGGGCCTCCGCCTATATGGCAATCGTAAGTGTTATGCTCTAGATGCAATCGATTTAGGTTGTAAACACTTTTAATATGTTTAATGCATTTATTTTTGGTAAGATCTATTATTTATTTAAATTAATATTCTGATGAATAATGTTAATTTATAGAGTCCGAAGATTCAAGTTTCAATAATTTATTAATCACAAGGAGTTGTAATTGTGAGATGCAAATTACATATAATTGAATCTTAAATATTCCATGGTCGTAAGTAATAACGAGATACGGATATCGTTATTACGGGTAGACTATCACGTGTGACGTTTCTTACTTGTGAAGTAAGTACCTGATCTCATAAGCTAAAGTGTGGTAACACTTAAATGAACGTGTGGATGTTTTGTTATAGAACAAAACATTGGAGACTCGCTAAGAGATTCCATATGGATAACTATCTGAGTGTCAGTGGTTAACCTCTAACGTTTGGTAGTGGAATTGGTCCTTTGACGTCATAGTGCCTGGTATGAGGACAATCATGCTTTGACGATGTTGGCTATTGCTCTGCCAAGGGCCACTAATACGACATTGTCCGGGTATGTCAAAAATCGTATAAAGGTTGTGAATGACCAATAGAGGATTCATCACTTTTAGATAGTAAGAGATTATGATCTGCATTTCATTCAATTAAGTCGACAGTGAAATCTTTGGCCAAAATATACTCAGAAAATGAAAATGAGTTTTCGACTTATATAGACTTAATAGTGAAATGAAAGACATGATCGATGATCAAGATTGACACACTTTCATATCTCGTAATTGTTCGGATCATAATGACGAAAGGATTATAATTTCATGGTAAACGAACAAGTTTGATTTTGTCATACCACTTGACATTTCCCGTCACATGTATTGTCCTAACATATTACTAGATGTCAATCTGGAACGACGAGTGCGAATTGGTGATAAATTAAAAGGGTATTTTAATTCATCAATTTTGATTAGATCAAAATCATATTTCACGTCGTTAGGTATCGTGATCGGGAACCTGATGGATGGCACACAAAAATAGAATTGGAAGATTGTAATTTGTTAATTAATTAATTTAATAAGTGTTGGATAAATTAATTAATTGGGTTGCTTATTTATAGGTCCGAATTAATTAATTAGACTAATTAATTCGCGA